TAACATTAATTTCCAATATTAATAATTATTTGTGTTTCACTATAAAATTTATTTGTTTAATATTTGAATAATTATTTAGTAACTATTAATGGTTTTTAATCATAAATCATGTTTTAAAAATTTGTAATTTTTCATAAATATAGTTTTGGTATTTTAATACTTTTTACAATAATATATTATATTTATTTTGGTAAATTTTGGTTTAACCGCTATCGTATCTGCTGATCAACCAGTCGTAAATCTCACGCAAACGCACCCATTTTCAACCGGTAAATCAGTCGGTCAAAACACTAAATAACGCTTGAAACTGCAACTGCCCGCTTCCGCAAGCTCCCATAGCCGCAACCGCAACCGTTGCGTTTAAACCAGTCAAGCCCAAAGTGAGAAAAGTGTCAAGTGATGTGAGTTCTAAAATTCATTGTCTACCCTTTCAAAGTTTTTCCCTCCGGTTTGTTGTTTTTTTTTCACCAAGTCTGATATAATACCACTTAGGTCACATTACATATTCACATCAATAATGTTAGGTTATTAATGTATTAGGCGATTTGTACATGTAGTTTAAATCAAAGAAAATGTAGAACAAAAGACTTCTTTATATCTTTTGTTCAGTTCTCTTTGGCTTTCTCAATCTATCTTCAATTTTGGCATATGAAGTGTTGAATGCACGACTATAACAAGAAAAATGCGATCATGACTCGATTCTTTGTTATAAACATTCATGTTAAACTTGCACGTGAAGTTGCTCTATGTAATCATACAAAAACAAAATTATTCGATTCCCACTTTTTGTGAGTCCCTCAAATGTCCTAAAACCTCCCAACACAAATCGAAGCGATGTCCTGTAGTTTCTCCACAAGGCCATATCCTTGGCTTTGCTTTCCTTATAAAGAGGAATTACTAATTATCTTTGCATAAGCATCACCACTGTTTCTAATCATCTTCATATGCATCGTCAACTAATTTGACAACATTCGTGTGCCAACTGTCACAGTTCAAACTTAAGGACACGTTTTTTTCATAAGACACCCGTTTTTTATTTCTTTTTGCACCAAGAAACAAAGTGCATTAAAAGAAACATAGCTAGAGAAACCTCAATGACAAGACGTCTCTTGATCTTCTACGCCAAGATTAAGAAGACATTGTTCTCAAAACTAAAACGAAAAACAAACAGACCAGAGCACCAATTAGATCCAAACTCTTAACGGACTAAAATCGACAAAAGTCATCCTCATCGTCCAGCATAAACTTTTCTTTCAAGTCCTTCAAATTTTGCTCAAGTTGTTGCACCCGAGTCTTACCAAGCTCTTTCAGTTTCTCCTCCAACCAATCCAACTTAAAGCCCGCTTTTTTCACATAAGATAGTGTACAATGTGCGTTAGTCAGATCAACATTAGAGATTTTCTCAGGGGACTGGCTCATAATCTCAGTCAAGCATAGTAGGCTATTCAAGTATGTTGTTCTAAGATGTGGGTTCTCTAGATGGAAGTTTGATGCAATGTCTGGGTGCTTTTCAAAGAGATTGTTCACAGATTCTACCTGCAAGTGAAAAATGGACGAATAAAGTAAAACCATATATGCAGCTTGTACAAGAGAGTAAACTATAAAGCACTTTTCTTACCTGTGAAGGAAGAACTTGAAACCCATTGACATCCACGCTTTTGTTTACTAATAAAGTTTCCTCTAACACATCTGATTTGCCAAAAACTTCAATAACACCAACCTCGGCAACAACCTTGACTTCTCCATTCACCAAAAACCCACCATTTTTGTCAATAAGTTTGGTAAGGGGAAGCATTTCTCGGAAACCCCAGTTGGGAGACTTCTGATCAAACCAGGGTTGTTCTCCTACTGTAATGTCACAAAACATAAAACTTAAGTTATAAGTCCTATGAGTCCATGAAAACTAGAAACATAAAATATGTACTTCTCTTTGTCCGCCTTAGAAACATATACAATCTAGCGAATGCAAAAATAATCACCTTCCTGTTTGGAGAGTTTCTCCGAAATTTGATTAACAACAGTTAGGCGAGACCTTGTGTGTCTTTTCCAACCATAAGGCAAGGATTCAGAATCAGCAACTTCCAGAAACAGAGAGAAATGACTAGTAATACCACCAACATTGGTATAGGTCAGAAGACGCCTGCAAGCAGAGGAACAATATCACGTAAACCTAAAATGAACGAAAACATTAGAGGACAATTTTTTTCTTACCATTTGGAGTCACCAACTACGAAATTATCAGAATAAATTTTCTGATAAGGGGAGAAATTCTTAATCGTCCATGTTATCTTCTTTTCATATTGCTTTTCCATTGTTCTTGATGAAGACTCTTCACAACCAAACTACCAGAACATGAAAATAAGTTAAAACCTAGAACCCGAGTACGTTGCACACAACCAATCTTTTTTTTTTTGATAAAGAAAAATCAAACAACCATTTACAGACAAAACCTAAAAAAAGAGAGAGTAAGATTATTCGAAGTTTTTACAAGCTAGAACAATACAAACAATGACAACAATTATATAAGTAGCCACATTCGAGAAAACGCACCAACTATTAAGGTCACTTTGTTTTAAAAATACCTAAATAGGTTTGAATGAGAATCTTGTTGATTACGCCTCGGCTCCTCCCACCTCCTTAGGGTTTGCAGCAATAGGACGACTACTTATTGATGCGGCTACATATATTGATCATTTACAATATCTCTGTATATAATCCTTTTTTTCTGTGTTTTAAGAACTAGTCCCTAGTAAAAAAATATTTTGCTTTAAGCCCAAAGGAAAAGTTGCAAGAAGAACATATATAATTTTTTGCGTTTATTTGACTAATAACTAGGTGATTGCCCGCGCACATGCGCGGGAAGAATGTTGTACGAATGGTAAAATCATGTGAAATAAGGGATTGTTTAGGTGTTAATTGGTAGTGTAAGAAAAATATGGTAAATTGTTTAGGGTTTAGTGTGGTAAAAATATGGAAAATGATGAAATTTAAAAAATTCAATATAATATTATAAATGCTAAGAAAATAATAATAAATCATCTTTTAAAAGCATTCACCAAGAAAATAAGAAATCAACGAACATCATCACTCCATGGCATTCTCCTTCCGTGTGATGATCGGTACTTGGTCATTTTCAGGATTCCTGACATCCGATTTAGAACACCATAAACAGTGAATGTTCAGTCGCCAACTTTAGAGTTTTGATTGTAAACGGAAAAAAATACTTACCAACAAAGCATCTCGTCGGTAATACTGAGATCCGGATTCAACATAATCCTCGTACTTCCGGTAACATTGGTACATCTCCACCTATTTTCCTGTGATAGCTCTAATTTCACAAACTTGATAATACATATCACTGTGTTACGTGAACGATGCTTCCATAAGTCATAGAACTCGACTGCAAGGTCACCCGTTAAACGACACTCTAGATGGATACACCTAAATTTAAGATTTGAAGAAGCCATAAGACTTTATATTCTGGTTTAAATCTTTAAAAGAATAGTGACTTACTCAGTATCACGTAAACCAAAGTACAGCTCAAAATATCCTCCTTGAGAATGTTCGACGGAAGGAACAAAAACCAACTCTCTCACGTTGACAATTTTGCCAACAACATCTATTAAACACACACATGAATAATACAGTCAGAACATGAACCGCAAATAAACTCCAAAAGCAAAAATAAATTTATAAATTAGGCTTACCAACGCAAATATTCGGATTAACAATACCACTCAATATACTCACAAACTCAGTTAGATTGAAATTGGTTCTACTGGAGCACATATTAATACTTTGCACTAAAGTGTCCGAACGAAACACAATCTTGAATCTATGCGGTACTGGTCTCAATATGCTGTTAACCCGTGATACATCAAAATTTTTAATGCTCACCCACTCATCGATTATCAATTTTGAAAGATAATTATCAATTAACTCATCACGAACAACGGCTTGGATTTGGGTGAACTGCAAATAAAACGTTAAAGACAAAACCAATTCAATTTAATATCGAAACATGTATAGAAGGTAAGTTATCAAAAAACTAACATGCTCGTCACCCAAAATCATATTGATCTCTCTACCCGAGCCACACGAAACAGACCAACAATTCAAAATCTTCACTGAGACAGACCACTCACCCATGTTAGGGTTAAGAGACGCAATATGAAAATAACCACCATCACATGAATCAGAGGTAAAAGGTATCATTGTAGAACCCATATCAAAAGATTACGCGTCTAAACAATCCAATGAGATATAAACGCGCGATACGTATATGTAGACCTAACAATTTTTGGAAATAACATAAAAATGGAAAATATATATTAAAAACTAAATCAGAAAATTAACAAAAACGAATATTGATTAAACGATATAGAATTTATCCATAAGATTAATAAGTTAAGTTTAGAAAAAAAAAACTAAATCTCAACAGTTAAACTGAAATATATACTAACGAAATTTAAGGGTAAAAATATATCACTCTATAAAATACGGTACAGACGACGTCAAATCGTAACTGGTTATTTTTCTAATTATTATTACAAAACAGTACAGTTAATCCCATTCAATTTTCGCCGCATACGCGATGATAACCTACACGCATCGGCTTTTTGTCGAGAAACATGATAACAGTCGTCGGAAGTTTTAAGTCTTTGTAATAATGATAGCAAACACATACGCATTATGTTCAACTATCAAAGAAAATTACGCATAAACAGAAATATTTTAGTTCACCTTTTTATGTCATTTTTTTACCCTTGAACAATGTTATGAATGAATGTCTTAGAAAAAGTGATACAGCCACAAATACATGTAGTTAAAAATTATGGATTACGCGGTACTTCATATATAATTCGCATTACGAACATGATATAGTCGATAATGACATTAAATACACAAAAAAGAACAAACCTAATTAAAATAACAAATTCATAAATAATAAATCATAAAGTTTAATAATTCCCAAAACGATAAAATGATAAAATAAATAACACCAAGACACTATTATATTGATAGTATTAGGTCGAATAGTAAACCAATACCGAAACTATAACAACGATAAAAACAAAACCAAGACAACGATAACAAATCTAGGCCAATATCACATTGACATGTCATCACATTTGTAAGTTAAGAGTCGGCGAACTATACCAAGACGCACACCTTCAAAACCGGCATGATGGAATCCAAGATCACCCATCACCTTACGCATAACACGAAAACCATACCACTCTAATTGCACATCGGATAACTCCAACCCTAATGTAATAAAAAGCAACACCTTTTTGAGACACAACTATCAAGTCAAACAACATCAATAAGTATTTAGTATTGATAGATTAATACCAGGATTATTACGCGCGATCTTCTGTTCAGCCAACACATCACCACTCAAAACTCGATAGCAAGCGTCCCATACCGTCTGGACATGAATGCTTGTATAGAGTATCAACGATTCAGCAAAACGAAGGCGTAGATACGCCGGACATAAACGCCAACTACTGATAACAATATCATTAATACACTCAAGAGTATCTTCATTGGTATTCATTAAAGTCTCATCACACTCAAGACCGTCAGACGGGTATGGCTTCATACCAGCAGCGACAAAACGCTTCAAGATAATAATAGACAACACATTAGTATCTTATCACATGAATACAAACTGACTGTATATATAATATATGTACATCAAATATTAATAAGATAGATATAAATTATCTCACCCCATCACCAAAATACTTCATGCGCAAGTCAGCATAATTCTGGGAGATATACAAAATAAAGTATAACCAATATAATTTATATTACCAACATTTATCAAACACGTAAATCGGAACGAATGTTACCAAACAATAAATCGAACTGCACATTATATAGAGTTACCAATTAACCTTTTTAGTCTGCATCAGAGGGTCCAATGATTTTGCCTCCTATACAAATTAACGAAGATATAAGTTTTTTTTTTCTTTTTTTTTCTTGTTTAAACTTCGAAACATACATATCGAATATCAAAATAGACAGCATATACCAACCTGTAGATATCTGGACAATAGATATCTCAAGTATAGAGACTTCAACTGTGTCCGAGGTTCCTATATTATATTTGTCAATATTTATGGATTAGAATTTGTCAATATATGTAGAGTATAAATAGGAATAAAATGCGTAATATTATAAGTAATAATCCAATAATAATATACCAGGTAAAGTACGGCCAAAACGTAGTCTTTATCGGCCGACAATGCACCTAGATCCGAAAGCACATCCTTGAACTTATTATTTACAAACAGTATAGCGTTAGATAAAGATAAAGTAGTTGAATCATACATTACATATTAATAATATATAACTACATAGTAACCAAGAAATTCAATAATTACCTCATCGAACGATAGAACTGCAGCATTGGCCTCGACATGCTAGGAATTCAAATAAATATAAAATTCAACATTGTGTTGTTAACATCAATATATAGAGACGATAAAACGTTACTAATTAACGACCGTGTCAGATATATACCAAGACAGAAGAAAGATCAACTGCATCAGACACATCATCGAGATACTACATAAGAAAGAAACAATGTATTAAAACTATTTGTATGAGAATACGAATTCGCTATCAACATGGAGACGAAACAAACATGTTTGTAGCATACCTCTTTGACGTTTTCCTGCGTATAAACGTCAAGTATAGAAGTTAGATTTAAAAGATTAATGGTTAATAAACAAAAAGTAAAAACTAACACACATGATCAAAGGAATATATACCTCGACGTCAGCGAGACACGAAGAATCGGATCTAACATCCTTGTAAATAAGATAATAATACAATTTTCAATTAATGTTAGATAAGAAATAATAATTAGTATATAAACTCATAAGAAACAGTTAGTTTTAAACAATCAATACGTACCAGAAATTGAGAAAGAACCCCATCACCGCATCTGGATCCCTATTACAGTAATTAAATTAGCCATATTAGATACCAATCATATGAACAATAAAAAACAAATCACACAGAAACAATACTACACATTAACAGAGCATAAATTATAACCGTATATTTCATTGTAGAACTTTTACAACAACGATAAACGAATGTCTTCAATGTTCGGCCAGGACACAATCAGTATTTATAGAAGAAGAGCATGTTGTACAGTTGGTTATGGTTTAGAAAAAATATAGAGATCTGCCATTATCTAGACAATTACAAATCAAGATTGTTTGGAATATTTCTGTATTTATCGCATAATATAAGTTAATATACCTAAATGGATACGTCTAACAACGATATTATACGATATCATCGCTAATACAAAAAGTAAATAACACTATATATATACATTTGTAAGAAGGAAATTTACGATTTTATATTATGGATCTACATACTATTTTATATATATATATATAGAAATATACATATTATCTTATTTTATATTTTGGAAAGTAGTACATTCTTTAATAAGGTTTGACCATGTTAGTAACCAAATCAGACGGTAGAAAATGAGAAGAGATCTCGATCGGACGGCGGCGGGGATCATATGTATCAAAGCCCGAACTAATTGATCCCAAAGCCCGACTATATAAACGAATGGACCATGTATTCAAAGAGATTAATGGACTGGCCCATGTTTTTTATAGACACGTGTTGATCGGACGGCCAATATTACTCGCGTCTAATAAGATGTTAATCTGACGGTCGCAAATAAAGTTGATTATTATAATAGGGAAGGCAGAGGTAAGTGTCAAAGTTAAGATCGGACGGTTGTGGTTTTTTTCTGTTTTTTTTTTAGCTCGATCTAACGGTCCGAAATACAAAATGGAAAATTCTTATATTAAAAACTAAATCAGAAAATTAACAAAAACGAATATTGAGTAAACGATATAGAATTTATCCATAAGATTACTAAATTAAGTTTAGATTAAATTACCAAAACTCACTAAAAGGGAAATGTCTAACAATCTTTCGAAATGTTAAAATCGATGACAAATGCCGACACTGTAATCCGTAAATTGAAAACAAACCACCCAAACGAAAAATACAGAGCCATACAAAATTAGGCCAATCGAGCTTCTTTGACGCCCGTCCTAAGACTCCCGCAGTAATCAGCCCACCATTCTTTTAGTTCTACAACACCAGGCAGCGGAGCATCTATCATAATTTTAGAACAACCAATGTTTGTGCAATGCCACATACGATTAGACGTAGCCACTATTTTGGCAAATCTGATGATACAAACCACGACATCATCGGTGTTAACTTTCCACTGTCGATGAAATCTAACGGCGGTTTCACCAGTCAGTCTGATACTCAAACGCGTATGCCTACAAATTTATATCACAGTTGACATTATTATGACAATTTCGTTGAGAGAAAACAAAGTTATATATCTGTATAAGACTAAGAATCAATACTTTGTATCAATTAGGTCAAAATAAACCACATAAATATCTTTCGAAGAGCCCACCATCTGCACGAGTTGTATGTCATTCACATTATCGACCCTCCCGACCAAATCTAAAGAAAACAATACAACGTAATGATTAGAGTAATTATGAGAAAAATCTAACCAGAAGGGAAACGAATATAATCTCACCTACACAGATATACGGGTTACTTATACCCGTACGAATATCACGAAATCTCGCAAAGTTAAAGTAATCATAATCACATGCGATGTAATTAAGATATTCGACACATGTATCAGGAGAGAACTGAATCTTGAATCTATGTGGAGTAGTTCTGACTACGTCGACATCAGGGATTAACGAAAATTTTCTTAATATCATCCAGAGATCCTCAATCAGTAATGGCGAAAACCTAGTTACCAAACTTTCGCGAATGGCGGCTCGGATTTTCGTACCCTGATTTAATTACAAAACATGAAAACATCTTAATACAAAATATTAACAGAAATACTGATTACAGTTTATCTTGAAGAATTACCAACCTGATTATCCATCAAAATAAGGTTTAGTGAATTACTAACATCGTCGAGGTCGTGCCAAACATGCAAAATCTTAACACAAGTACTCCATTCATGGATCAACGGATTCAGAGATGATATAGTGAACATATTTCTGTTATAGGTCATAACGTCAAAAGGCCACCCATGACATCTAAACGATTCCATCGATCCTGGTGGTTATAAACATCGAAGCCAAGCATAAATCGATATATATATATATAGATCCGAATTTTCCAATTAGTTAACATTAGATTCGGAATTATCAGATGTATCAAAAAAGTAATAATTCTTAAACAGAGATTCGACAATATTTTGCAGATTTTTCAATTTTAACTAAATCTAACATATTTGCTATTTTTTTGGGGGGGTTTTTTGCATAAAGTATAAGAAGTGAATATCTACCAAATATATCACGGTATCGGTACATAACAAAGTGCATCTTTCATAATAAGATAGTTTCTAATAATAATAATAATAAAAATAAGTCATATGTCATAATTTAAAACCAAACGCAACATTGCATAATTTAAGGAAACAAATAAAGCACATATTAAATATGATAAATACTAATTTATTAAGAGTGTTCGACGTTATCGGCATCGTTCTTGACCAGAATATTCGAGTAGGGGGGATGGCTGTAGATACGAACGTGCCTCCATCCATCAAGGAGTTGATAAACTTTCCACCAGCGAAGAACACACGTAACATCCGTACCAATCACATTTCTAAACCGATCATGGCATTCTATCGCCACTTCTCCATATGCACAACACTTGAGGGTCTTCTTCCTATTTATTAATCAAAATAAAAATGTATGTGAATCAATAAACATATTATATCATGATTTCAATAAATATATTATATTATAATTTCAAATAACCAACGATGAAAGAAATCGTACTCTTGATCTTCAATGGTGAATGAGTATCTGTATCCCCCTATGACAGATGGTTCATCGGTCACGTTCGTAAGATCACTCGCCTCGACGATCCGCCCAATCAAAGCTACAAGCAAATATCAAGATTTCTACATAACCAAAATAAATAACTAAAACCGCAGAACGTTCTGAAAAGCATAACAAACTAAACTTACTTATGAGATAAGAAGTATCATGATATCCATTGAAAATAGCACCAAAAGGTGTAGCGACAATATAGTCATCTTGAGAAAACGAAGACGCTTCTTTAACGATAGTACCATCATAGAACATTATCTTAAAGTCGCTCCTTGTTAGTTTAGTGAATCCCGAATTCTCCACAACTCTGAAATTCATAATAGTGTAGAATTCATCTTCTTCAATAAACGTTGAATAATGAGAAGTCAACGGTGAACAAATAAACGCTTCGATCTGATTACCCTGCATCACAAAACCAAAATCCCAAAAGTCGGGAAACCGCAAACATCCATGACAACAAAGGCTAATACATATCTAAAGAAAAGCCAAATCTTATTTCGTTTTTATATACCTTATCATCAACCAGAAGTAACCCTAGCCCACCCTTTGATATATAGTCATCGGTGTGGAAGCGACGCAAAACCTTAACGTGAACATGCCATCCAACTATTGCAGGGTTCAACCGAGAGAAATCGTTGTAACGTTCAATAGAAGACGATGTAAACCGAGAAGACATATCTGCTTCTATGCGAAAATTCGTTATGCGGAGTAAGATAATGTTCTGCCCACCAAAACGTTTAACAACAAAGTATATATAGGGAACTAACCTAGACAGGGAAACGTCCCAACCCTTTTATTTTTATGTTCGATTTTCCTTCCTTTGTCACGACACGTACCGTCGCAACCCTTTTTTTGTTTAATAACATTTTGCGTGACATTTTTCATTTTATTTTCTTAGTATTTTTATTTAAAGATGGCAATATCCGATGGAATTTCCTTCTATTTAAAACCCAAAATGTATAATAGAAAATAAAAGTAAAACAAAACAATTGTCGTAAACTGAAAGCCCAAAACAGTTAATAAAAGGAGAGAAAAATCCTAGAATCAAACTAACGAATGTTCTGGAATACTTCGTGATACACAACATTTTTAGTAGTCTTTTGAAGCTGTCCCCTATCATCTGTTATCAGTATCTTGAGGCCTTTCCTGGATGTGACTCTCGAAAGTGCAACGTACAATTGCCCGTGCGAAAAGACAGGCTTAGGTAGATACAAACCTACATTAGTCAAAGTCTGACCTTGACTTTTATTAATCGTCATTGCGAAAGCAACCGCAATCGGGAACTGACAACGTTTCATTCTAAATGGGAACTTCGTCTCGGTGGGACTCAAGTACATTTTAGGAATCACAACTATGTCTCCAACTCTCGTACCGGTAATAATTCTAGCTTCTATAACCTGATTCGCTAACTGAGTCACTTGTAATCTTGTACCATTACAAAGTCCATTCTTAGGATCAATATTCCGTAGAACCATGATTGGAACTCCGACTTTCAATACCAGCCTGTGATTTGGCAACCCCGAGACTTTGATGCTGTTTAAAAACTCGGGGGTATAAACCATATGATCTCTTTTGTCCGCATCCGATAATTCAATACTATCGCAACTAAGATAGACTCTCTCTTCACCTAACAACCCCGGGGCGTCAACATGAATGAAAATTAAAATAATAAACAACATTAAATCTACTACCAAACTAAAATAATAAACAACATTAAACATACTCTAGATCAATATATAAAAGTTTTAACATTAATGTTTTACCTTCCATGTGTGATAGCGCATAGTCGTTGATCACGCACACGTCATTATTTCTCGGAGTAAGAATAGCCCTTTCTTGGAAAAAAGAAAGTTCCTTATCCTTGACCAACGTTGACCCATAAACATTATGTACGATGGCTTTGATAGGATCACCACATTTAGAAATCAGCAAATCATCAGGAATCTCCACATCAGCATCGCCATCGTCTGTAACGTTGATTGTACCATCTCCTATGTCAAGAATCCATTTTGCAAAATCTCTGAGTTCCTGTGCAGCATCATCCGAATTACCATCTAAAAGTCTCATGTTCTTGGTTAGCCTCAACAGTCTGCAACTTTCCCAGATATACGACGAATTAATAGTGGCCAAAACGGTTTCCTCTCTACCTGCACCACTGATTACTGGCAATATCTGTCTAAAATCTCCTCCAAAGACAATTGTTTTACCGCCGAACGGCCGATCAGTATTACATCTCATAACATCGCGAATACTACGATCCAACGTCTCAAAACAATGTCTGCTCATCATAGGAGCCTCATCCCATACAATTAAGCTAGCCTGTTTTACCAACTCACCGAGATGGGATGATGGTTTCATCATACACATACTAAATTCATCAGCCGTTAGAGGTATCGAAAATCTTGAATGTGCAGTTCTACCTCCAGGCATCAGCAAAGAGGCTATCCCGCTCGACGCTACATTAAGAACAATAAGTCCCATAGACCTTAAAGCAGCCGATAAAATACTCCAGACGTACGTTTTGCCTGTGCCCCCGTATCCATATAGAAAAAAGACACCGCCTTTTTTATCCAAAACTGCCCGCATCACTTCATCGTAAACTATTTTTTGTTCATCTGTTATCGTCGCTAGGAGTCTCACGTGGTCTTTCGCTTCTTTTTTCGTGGTTATAACCAAGCTCATCCAACAACAGCCGATTTGTACTCTTATCAAGAGATATATCATCCGGCTGCGGAAATCCTTCGATAGTAGACAGAGTCTTCCCGTTATCCCGCAGCAAGAGTTCAATAGACGCCAACGTGAAATTTTTTATTTGTTTATCAGAAAGCGTCAAAGCTGCAAACCACACGAAACATGCTATTATGACTATTCAATTAATAAGACAGCTATATATGTTTCATAAACAATAGAGATGATCCACCTACCCGGATTCCTCGACACTCTTCTACGTTCGAATAAGATACCTTCCGACAGTAGATCACAAGTCTCCTCCCAAACTCGCAAAGGATTTACTATATCTCCGGCGACGATAATCATCACAAATAATTTTCGCAAGGGTAAACCTTTCACGAAATAACTCGCTTCTTTTATAGCATCTATAAATATTCGGTCGTCTGCGAGCAACCCCAGTGCATTGCAAGCATCAACAAACTCGGGATATATAATGCCATTTACCGTTTTGATGTCATCGTAAGACGTAGGACCTGTCACAGAATTTAACAGGAGCCTTAGATAATACTTGTTTCCAAGGGAAGGAGAGACATACATAATCCTTCCTATCGAGAATCCTTTTACTCGGGGTTTCCAGACACGCTCTCTGCTTTTCCAAACAAACTTAGATGGAAAATCCGCATATGTCAATTCTTTGGCTTCTGGATACTCTTTGTTACATTCCATCCAAGCCAAGAACATTGTACGACCGATAGATTTACGACTTATAACCTCATCAACAGGATCATTCGGATCGAAAACAACAACTTCTTCACCAGGAAGATGAAATGTAAGTTTTTCTACTGGTGTAGACCGATAATGTGTAGCAAAAGCTAATATTCTCCAAGTGGCCTCGCATGCAGATATATACCTATAAACGAAACGACATAAAAATAATGAGAATGAGGCAATAATTTCAAAACTCCCAACAATAGCATTTAGTCTAAGATGATAACATAACATTTTATAAACAATTAGTATCATTTGGCACCTGCATGTATAATACTGCTTTATTTCGTCATGGACTTCCTCTTCTTGACCATCTTTTTGTATTTTTGCTCTGATATAATCGGGTCCCTTGTGGATATACTTGAAGAGATATTTGATAGATCGTAATTGATTGCACCACTCGACATTAATATGAGCACGATACCTTTTCGATAAATAAGCGTTATATGGAACGATGTACCTATTATCGACATTAAATTTTTGCTTCACGATGAATTTGCCATCCGCCCGCCGTCTATAAATAGGATACCCCTCGTCATCAACCTTAGTCTGATCACTATAAGGCCTAGGGTAGTATTTGGTGCATCTGCCTTTTTGCATACACGGACAGCTGGGATTAACAACTCCGCACGGACCATGCACCATCATATCTGCTACAACTTCATACAAAAACGGCTCTAACTCTGGATCAGGAATTTCTGCACTAATATGTTTATCAATATCATCAGTAGTTGGCAGTTTTGATCCTGGAGCTAGGAACAGGACCATATGTGCGTGTGGTAGACCCCTTTTCTGGAACTCAATCGTGTATAAAACTGTAAAACATACAAAAAATTACAGAATAAGAGGATAAAAATTTAAGATTCTAAAATTCTATATATAAAATAATAACACATAATTTATGCGAGACACAAATATCGCTATAAAAGTTTGGTCAATCTACCAGAAGAGACAGTTCCCAGCTTCTTATTATGGTTAAGATCATGAATGAGATTATCGAGTTTCAGCTTAAAAATCCTACAACAGATGTCGGGCCTATCCTCGGGTTTTAAGTTGTATTTTTTCCAGATACCTAGTAATCTCGGGCCACGCAGGATTACAAGTTATAGTGATAAATAGATCAGGAAAGCCATAATACTTGCAAGTAGCCATCGCATCAAGATAATGCTGCGTCTTGTACCTAGGCCCTCCGGTGAAAGAAGATGGTATCATAATTTTATTGCCTTCTCTGGAAAGATTTTTCTTTCCTTTCTTAGAAACTTTAAGAATCTCTGAATAGCTTTCACAGCGGAGATTTTTCTGGTTAAAAAACAAATAACGAAGCCTGTTGCTTTCGATCATCGTATACGCATCAACCAGAAAACTGCTGATATAATCTCCTGGACATAACAATCGTAGGAGATTCACCTCGCCTCGATTGAATGCGATACGCAAAGAATTCTCTCATCGTCACCTTTGTTCTTTTTAGACCGCCTTTATCGATGAATCCAATGTCGATACCTAACCTAAATCCATCCTCGCCGTAAGGAAAAAGCAAAGGATACTGTAGAGGGAGGTAGGATGGGTGCAGCTCACTTATACGCTGAAACCCTCCAGAATTAGCCTGAAGCACTACATCACGCGGTTTAGGGTTTATATCTCCCACGATAAGCCCAGCAACCTCGTCAGTCGTAGGTATATTTTGTACTCTACCGTCACTATCTCGATGATTTTTCAAAATCAACTTAAAGCCGCTGGTATCTTCACATTGTGCTAATCTATCTCTAGCTGATCTAAAGGCGATGACGTGTGGGTTGTTAGCATCTAACATATCCTTTAAAGTCTTAACGATACTCTTCTTTATTTGCTTACCCGGTCCTTTTTCGCTAAAACAATTAAAAACAACAAAAAACGGAAATTAATTCGTGGACATAATATAAAAAGTATATTACAATAAACAACTCACCCCATAACACCCATCCTATTCGAGACTTCGTTTACGGTATCATGAATATAGAGCTGCGAGAAAGCAGGACTTTGGAAGGGCCAGGCAAAAGTTCACCGATGCGATGATAATTTTGACCATGCATGCGAAACACATACGGTGCATTCCCATGGTTCACGGAATTATCAATTTGACCACCAAGCGACGTGAATGAGAACATCATATTGTATGCTCTAATTAAAGCACGGAAATTTTTGCTTGTCTCATCCTTGCCATACAACATCGACATAAGCACCGGTGGAGGATTTTTCAGTTTAGGCAGCTCCACTTTACCCTTCATGCAACACGTAGAAAATAGAGGCCTATTTTTAGCTCCACGTTTGTTAATACGCTCGCCAAACCACATATAAGCACCGCAATTCTGACAGGTATAAAACGGATCTCCATCATCAAAATAACCTGACACAAGAAGCACTCATGTACACAATAATATCAATTATATTTTTTTAAAAAATATCAAAAAACAACCATAGTAAGTACCGTTTTCTGTTAATCCAGGTTTCACATTTACGATCGGTATGGATCCAAACCCTTCCTGTTCCATAATACACTCATCGGCGTTATCGAGATGTTCAACAAAATCATAATCCATTGCATTATCGTCGTCTGTTTGGTCCTCCCTATCACCATGATCAGAATCCGAATCGGTTGCGAGGAAATGCACGTAATCATCTTCGTAAATCGGCAACACCAACCCTTATATATAGCATTTTTTTCTTTGTTAATCACACGTACAATTTCGAGAATAAAACTTAATATAAAAAAGCTATCGTACCGGTTTCTGGTGGTCTTGTCCTCGCTTTTATCCGTCTTGATTTAAGGATTGCTACACGACGCGCTCTCGCACGACAACAAACATCCTTAGGAGGTCGTGAATTTAATAACGCACGTAATTCATCAGATATCATGTTTTCATATGCCGCGATAAACACGTGTTCGATTAATCGACTCCATGCCTAGAAATTATGAATATTTATTAATCACAAAGGAAAATATAATATGTCACTACAACTTAATTACGCGTGTGTGGGCGTTTTTATTAATTAAATTAATAAATTTTTTAAAGATAATAGACTTAACCCGATAATCTATTACGGCAGGCAGTCCTTCGTGCTCTGAGTTTCTCCATACGATAATTTCTTGCCTTTTTCGCACCATCTTTGGGTACATCGAGCAAATAGTCGAAGTGTTATTATAAACACGGCGATGTATACGTCGATGATCACCTTTGGACGGCATAATGAAACAAATCAGAGTGATAGACAAGAATGTTTTATAAAAAAGGATTATGGTTATACGACAACATAAAATATATAACGTATGCAAGCTTTTGCGATCTTATTTCTGACCTCTACCACGTTTCATTGTCTCCAAAACCTAGAAGATCGTGAACACAAAGGAAACCAACGGAAAATTTTATATAACAATAATCTACTATGGTATTCTTTAATAGAACAACTGGAAATATTATATTTTAATATTGCGATATATATTACTAATCAATATATTTTGTAGATATACTCAAATTTTACTTTTTATAATGATTGTATCCAAAAAAAAAGAAGGAATTTATAGAATATTTACTTTAACAGCAAACGCATTTGGTAATACCCATACATAACTTTGAGAGAAGATGAAAATCTCACGGAAATAAATATAAAATGTAAACCGAAAACTGGAAATATTATATTTTAATGATATGTTATATAGTATTAATAATATATGTGATTCGAGCACAACGAATTTTACTTTTTAAATTAATCTCAACTCATAAATACAAGTTATAATGACAGAAATTTATTTTTCCATAGCTTGTTAAACCTCACAATTATGGTCCTAAAATATCACTTGGAGATAAATGAATAGATAACATGACCGTGAGATCTGTACAAATCCTAAGAAACCATATAGCAAACGAAAGTAGCTACTCAACATACAGGCAGCTATCATGCATCTCACATATAGGACGTTGTTTCATCTAGCATAAGTTGTTGACGGTCAACGAAGAAGAACCCATGGTGTTTTAACTACGCGTTTTATGGTGCTTAAAACTCATTGCGTAATTATAAAGATACACCGTCAATAAAAAAAAAAGTTAAGAGAACGCAAGACAGGAATAATAAAATAAAATCTTCATTGCAGCGTTAATAGATCAAAACACCGTCTATAAAAAAAGGTTCTATTATTTTGCCGAAACAAATATAATCTTATAGAGAGAACCAACCAGAAACATAGTTTATAAAACCCTAAAATAAACAAAAATAAATTAAAACGATGCAAACAATCTAATCTATCTTAAGATTGTTAAACTGATCACGCATCTTATATTCCAACGAAGGATCACATGTAGGACCACCAGCTAAAGCGACTCTCTTCCGTAATTCCGCATAGACATTGAACGTAGAGTTTTCCTTACGCATAAATGTCTCAAAGTTTTGGATTTCATTGTAGCATACTCCGGCTCTAGAACAAAATAATAAAATATTAGCCATCTGACGATATTTGTAAACACTGGCAAAAACTAACGGTGTACATTTACCATGATCGTTAAAAATAATTTGTTGTGGAAACAACACATCTTTAAACAATACATCCCAGGTAGCATCCCAGACCGACAACGGATCTGCCTCGCAGAAAACACCCATCAGCATAACAAATAAACCACGCAATCTATCGACCGGCAGCACCCACGAAGCCGCTTGTTGGATAGCTACGATGCATTCATCCGTCTGGCTAATATGGGTTGAGTTAGTGTTTTGCTTGTTAATCTGTCCGATCAAAACATTCACGTATCAGTAATCAATAAACATCATTGTTATTTTCGGAAAGAGAAAGCCAACTTAACGCAGAACCAATAAACTATATCAGACCAACATCAAGTAAAAATACTAACGACTACCTCCATCTTTTCAACACGAGCGTTCGCAATGATTAACACAAGAATGCATGTATTATTTATAGACGTATATATAAGCTAAGTATTAGGGTACCCAATAAGACCTATATTTTTACGTAAAATATTGAGCCACCGAAAACCAAGGAAAATAATATTTTCTATTATAGAAGATAACAAACATACCACTATATTAATAGGAGATATGATCAAATCTATCAATACCTAAAATGTTAATTCTAACATATTGTTACACATACAGTATTTATCCGTATATATGTTTTTATATATGGGTATGTCGCATGTCAAAATAAAAAGAAACATTCTAATTCCGTCCAATATTTAATATTTTAGAATTGTTAATGTTACATATCTCAATACAACAGACCTACCAATTTATACGTTGCTCAAAGAAACGGCCGGGATAGCAACATACGTTAGTAAACCATATAAGCATAATATAAAACGTGCAAATATATAGAGTTCGTGAATGCTCACATAACCCTAACTAATTATAAATCAGCATGCTAAATCAGATACCAAATATATCACAAATAACGTGAAACTGTTATATACGACATAAAACGAATCCAATATTTTATAATAATACATATATAATAATATCCACGTTTTGCTAAACACATGTTACCTACATGCGACTCTTAATCTATAACAATATTCCTAAGTGAATACATTGGCGTCAAACAATAACACCTAAAACATATCTTTAGTGTAATCAAAAATGCATGTATTAGTTGCGTATAGAATATATTCAGACCAACGAAAACACTTGCACGTGTATAAGCAGAAACGTCGCGTTTGTCGTTTGCCAAACAACATCAGACCGATCATAGAAAACGAAAACGACAATATCTAAATTTGACACTCGAGAAGGTATAAAAAAAAAAAAAAAAAAAAAAAAACAAATAACGAAAACACCAATAAAATCCAAACTCAGTCATAACAAAAACGAATATAAAGTCGCATAATGTATTATAAAGTCTGCTATGAGATTTAAATATAAATAAAACCGCTAAATCTAGATATATATTAAAAAAAACAAATTCTTCTTCAAGATGTGGCAAACTCTCTTGTTTCTGGTCCTCGATTTTGATTTTTCTTCGCAGGAGGTTCGTATTCTCGGCGGATACACCGCCACGGCGAACATTGCCTCCTTTGTAATAGGCGTTACGGGCAAAGGCCACCAAAACCTTAGAAACACCAATATTAAGTAAATATAAAGCAAAACACCGAATATTTAGTAAACTTAAACATATATACAGTTTCTTATAAACAGAACAACCCAGATACAAAACACGAACCTCGGAGTCTAGACCATCAGAATAGTCCTTTAATCAGCTCATCATCATCAGAAAATAACTGAACCACGTAATGCGACCGATCCGATTTCAGTTATCGCCACCTATACTCACTTTAACAAGAAACCGCCTCCGACCAATGCCCCAATCTCCGAGGGAAGTATAGAGGGTCATTCTTCATTAAACCACGCAAACAGATTAAACATACAAACAAATATCGTTAAAAATATAATAACAAACCCAACAACAATAGCAACAGCGTATCCATTACCTCAGAAACTTCATTATAGAGCTCCTGTGCAGTTCTACGAAGGAGCGTACTACCCTTGCATCAAACAACAAAACCTTGCCTGTAGCTAGTTGCATCAAAACATCCAGAACCCATCGGTATCTAAAACAAACAGTTATTCCAGAACAAATAATGAAAAACCGAGCTCCAAAACTACACACACCAACATAGTATAATGGTATTAACATGCACAAGACGGCATAAACAATGCATTCAAAAGACACGATCACCTGAACACTACCGCAGAGACATCCTTGTCACAAACGCCGCAATAGTAAAGAGGTGGTTTTCCATCATCACCAGAATCTTCTGGATAAGGCTCGACACTCTTATTGCACATCTTACACGAAACGTAATACCATTTCGTCGTTCGCTCGACGGATCCAACAGTGACCATGGTCACACACATACCCTCCTATAGATTTTAGAGACCAGACTTAAAATACCAACCAGTTCTAAATCACAAACAAATATTTTTTTTTTACATTTTAAAACGTATGAATATAAGGAATAACGCATAAATTTATGGTGTCTACCTCTAACGCCTCGACTATATCTCGGACAGTTCGTTTATGATTCTTCACCAAGAATTGATCACGTATCGATACAGTTGATCCAGCAAACAATTCACTATTGTCATGATTAGTCAATACCACGCCATCGGTTGGTAGCCTACAAAAAGAATTCTATATTAATATCTATACAGACATATATAATAACAAAAATAATAAATAAACAATTATAGGTCTATTACCCCGATCTGAACCCATCAACAAAAACGCCTGGAGGATCGAGTAATACACGTGTTGCGCCCATAGCATTAGATATAGTCCAATTACCTAAATAAGTTAACAATTGAATTTAGAACAGTCATCGGAATATTTGAAGTTTATTCGACCAACATATATACCTTTCCACTCCTTGACCTGAGCACACCTAATCACACAAACAACAGCCGCTGGATTTGCTTCAGTATAAACCTTAACTTGCTTAGCAAAATCCGCCCATAGAGTACACATTAACCGTACGTTCCTGATTACGTGATAAACACGTTTAAAAAACGAAACATACAGAAAACCAAACTCTTATAATGACTGATCATAATTAACATACCCACGATCACGCAACTCGACGTCGAGCTTTGGAGTACTTTTTCCTCTGATTTTTATATCCTCGATCGGTCCAACGTTGACAATCTGACCAATAACATCTACAACAATACGTATCGTTATTTAGCTTGACAGCGATAAAGATAAACAAATACCAAACTAATTAAGATATTTTGTTTAAACCAGACCTACCAACGAAAACACGCGTGTCTAGTGAACCATTTAAAACATCACCAAATTCCACAAAATACTTCTCAGGGACTTCCTTTGGAAAATCATCACATGGTTTGACCTGGGTTGTTCGGTAAAACAAAATCTTGAAAGAAAGACTGTTGCTCTTATAATCGCCAGAGTACTTGATGAGCTTGAAAGGATTCAAGGTAACGGCATCACCTTCTTTCAGGACACCGTCGAACTTTTTGATATTTTTGTCCTCAACAGTTGCATGGATTCTTGAACCCTAATTAAAACCAAAAAGAGAATATGCTTAGCATACTTATACGTTACAAAAACAAAGCAAACACATGATATAGAAGACATAATATCAAAAATAATCAAATCATAACCTTTTCATCCACCAAAACCATCTCGATTGTGTTGCCCGCATCTTTCTGATACGCCTTCCACAGCCTCAAGATTAACACCTTAATCTTATACTGATCGTGAATAGGATTGATATCATCGATGAAAGTTAGTGAATTTTTGCTTTTTCTGCTTGACGACATTTTTAACGCACAAAAGTATAATATCTTAATAGATTTCGTTAATGTCGAAAGCGAGCAGTAGATCCTATATAGCCATAAAATGTTTAGGGTTTAACCGACCTTTTCGAATAATATAGAATAAAATTTAATAATTATGGATATTAACAAAATCGAATTAAGAGATAAATGTAAATCTTCGATATTAGCATATAAAATTTCCTGGAAATATTTTAACTTTACCAAATAGTTATAGATATTTTCGAATCCAATGCGTAGATAAAAACCGCAATATTTACTTTTATCGTCCCGATAAATCATAGATTAAGCATGTTTACATTTTTGTGACAAATCCATAGTTTTATTTTCTGTAAACAAAGTCGATAAGAGTAAACTTGCAATGGAATCCAATTACAAAAATATTTATGTATTATGTTATTAATCTAAACTAACGAAGGTGTAAGTCCTTTGTCACTTTCCAGTTTTATAAAACGCATACACTTTGAAGCCTATGACTAAAGAAAAGAATCCTTTAATATTGGTCGCAGCCTCAACGAAATGATCAATTTAACATATATAAAATATTATTTTAAGCCCCAACGAAATAACAAATTCGATGTAAATTTAAATGTTCTCGCTGACGAACGTATCACCGTCAATATATGATCCACAATAAGAACGTAACTTTAGAATAAAAAATAAACAAAACTAAGAGATAATTGTGATCCGCATAATAGAGGTATCGCTGAAACAACTCTGTTAAAACGTAACGGAAATTGAAACATAATAACTTTAACATCCACCACCGGAGGCTATAAATCCTTCCTTCTTCTTCAAGATACCCAACTACATGTTTTTCTTGACCCTTCACAATAACACCGAAGCGTAGGAATTAACAATATTATAGCCCAGACACCCAACATCATAAATCTAATTATACGGAAAACTAAACTTACAATTCATCGAAGCATTCCACTCCACGGATATCTGGATTAATCTCAATACGGGTACAATCTGTAGCATGTATGGCCACATCACCTGCACTCGATCAAACTAACTATTTAACATGCTAACATCTATAACAAACCCGACCATCTTATATACTAAGCAGGCAAAACAAACCTCCATAACAACGAATAAGTCCCCATCTTATTACAAATAACAGCACCATCAGCTTGCTCTTTAAATGTATCGTAGAAAGTCATAGCGACTTTACCAAACAGGCGGCATCTCAACATAGCATTCCTTCACACGTAAAACGGTACATGTGTAAGGATATTAATTAGTATTTATCCCCTAACTATTATAAAAAAATTGCACGTACCGTCTGTCACGTAGATAGAAAGAAACTGTGCGATATATGCTATCATCCTCATCATAACCAAATTCCCCATACGTCTCTTCCTCTTCGTATTCTCCTTCCCCTTCATCGTCATCTACATCTTCTTCAACTTCTTCGTCTCCGTCGGTGTCTTCTTCTTCTTCATCATCGTCCTCTTCGTCATCTTCACCAAATTCGGATCCTAGTCTTCCATGGCCTTGATCGTTTATTCCTCCTACTTCTTCAAGTAATTCTTTATAACCACCAGTAAGAGGACGAAAACGTTTTGTGGATGGAAATCCATACACATCCTCGCTAGTACGCTTCAAGGAGCGATTAGGTTCCTTGTTTTCCACGACTAATCTACTCTCGTTGTATCTCTCCAACCTATCTAGTAAATAATCATAGTCTGGTATAACTTCATCAGATAAAGGGACGCCCTTATCATTAAAAACAACAGAACCCTCATGTAATTTCGTTCCATTGGTTTCAGCTTCGATATTAGAAGTTTGGACATCAACAACCTCTCCAATCAAGTCTTGCACAACGGAAATATGAAACGTCAATAAAACAGTGAATATAACAGATAACATGTTAAGACACAATAAGAACCACAAATCTTACCAACCAAAAAGTCGTCAGAATATCTTCGGTCCAAGATACTTCCAAAATCAACAAAATCAAAAAACTTATTGTTATCGATATCAGGTATCTTGACAATCGTAGTGTTTTTCAAAAGAATCATCTTATAGCGGTGCAAGGTTGCTCTGCAATCCCCAGTCTGATGAACAACTTTAAAGTCCTTAATCCGAAACCAACCACCGCTAACTATTACAGACACAAATTTATCGTAAACCTCTCCCCATAGAGAGCACTGTATCTTGTTACCCTACAACGAACAAATCCATAAAAGTAAGATCCAAGAGCATCAGCTTATAAAAAAACAAAACATTATAATATAAACAAACCTCACGATCCGCGAGAACAAACTCTAAACGCCTGCCACTGTTTTCTAGACGCCGTGTCCACGAACAAAGAACCTTGGTTTCGACAACCCACTCGTACTTGGAAGGATTCAATCGCCAAACACTATCATATGTTTTGGAGGTAAACATGACGACGATTATAACACGAATAAACGCGTAAGGGACTATATTTATATGCTATGAATGAAACCAAAAATACCTAATCTACGAATAACTCGAATATTTATTTATATATGAATTTTATAAATTATTCGATAAGGTTTCCGGGGATTTTCTATTTAGGTATAAATTTAACTAAATAAATATTGCTAACAACGCATATCGTTATTAATTTAATGATTATATATACATACCTCATTAAGATTGTTCATTGCAAAAGCAATTCCAATCTCAATATCCCAAGAATAAACAACAGACACAGTCTAATTTTATCGATACTATGCATTTTTTTTTTAATACGATGTAGTTTTCGTTCGTGTGTAGTAATCCAATATATAAATTAAATCTGTTTTATTTTAATAACGTTAAAGATAATATCCAAAATAAAATAATGTGTATGACCGATAGACCGAGACGATAACATAACGTAAAAACATCTATAAGGAGATAAACTAAAATATAGATCTATGGTCACGTTCAGTCTTTAATCTTCTGTTTCTTCGCAACCGGACCGTGCTTGATCGAGAAGCTACAAAAAGCAAACAAACAATCGAATAAAACATGTATCAACAGGAAAAAAGCGATGCCCATCAGCATTCCAAGCAAATGAGTAAACCTCAAACAAATATATAACGTACAATGATTTCATTTTTTTTACACCCGGTATCGAAGGATTCAACAGCAGTTTCGAACAGCGCACCCCTGAGCATATCCACATGCCTACGGATTAAATTGAAACCACACGTTAACCATGATTAACCGATGTTTCTAAACTATTTCTTCTATGCTACGTACCTTCCCTAAACTCGACACGGACAAATCGCAGTACACATATGATAACATCGGATGGATCAGTCATCCACAAACGATAAAGAGGTAAAGCATCCGTAATGCTTAAAACACATCTCAAAACTCTCTCACTGCGTTATATAGTTTAAATAAATCAGATCGATAAATAATCAACTCCTTCTGTGTATCAAAGTAGCATAATTAATGTACCTTGTATCCTGGAGATCAAAGACTATATGTTCCACCTGATCCTCATACACGTGACAACCAAAAGAGGTTATTTTACTAACGTTAATGGCCTTTCCGATGATATCTGCATGAATAAAAGCGTCGGTCGAAATAAAAATCGTAACACTAATTTATAAAAAAAAAGAAACAACTGATAAAAACCATACCAACACAAATGGACGTATCATGCGACCCATTTAGGATTATCCCAAAATCCACGAAATCATAGAAACCATCACCGATCTCTCCTGCAGAGTATCGCATAATGTTTTTTTATGAAATACCAGCTCAAATCTATGAGCAACAGGCTTCAACGCATCCACGACAGGTCTCAAAATAAAATCTGTTATCACTATCCATCGGTTCTCCACGATTCTCGACGAAAACTGTGGCATAAGCTCCATAGGTATGATACCGTGGATTTTCCCACCCTGAGATACGATATACACAACACATGATTACACTACGACTTATACATGCAAACTATACTAAAAAACAATAATCCACAGAACATGAGTTATACCTTATCATCGACCAACACGACGTCAACCGTCGAATAATGATCGTAGTACTCTTGCCAAATAGCAAGAACCTTTGCGCGAATACGCCACTCGCTGGTATCAGGATTCAGCTTCGAAAGAGGATACGGCTCCATCCGTAAAAATACAAAATCCCTAAGTCGAGGCAGAGCGAAGATATATTATAACTTGGATGATAAAAGAAAAGAGAACGATGCCAGTATTTATATACTTTTTTCGTGATATCTCCACCCGAAAATACATGCATATATATCACCAACCGTGAATAAATGTTAACAAATATTATTAAAAACTTATTCGGTTTTATCTCTATAATAAGTTAAAGGTAGTTATCATTTTAGCGTTCCAAAAAAAAGGGAATTAACATTCGTATTTTTACAAAATAAGGAATACGACCTTATCGCTACAGAATATTAAATATTTTATAAACTAATATCCCGAAAGGAAATCTAACTTTACGATATTATATAGATCTGTTTTAACATATGTGATTAGTTGACATTTTACAGAACCATAAATGCATGGGCCAGAGCCCAATAACGAAATGATAATTTGCCATATCGTGGACGACAAATCGAAAGTATTATAGAAAATATACAAAACCGGTTAAGGTAGTTACCATTTTATAGTTCTTAAAAAAGGAAATCAAGATGTGCGTACAGAAATCAACATGTGGGTTAGTTTACAATAAGAATACGACCATATCACTACATATTAATGTACTTATTGTTGATAAATATCCAGTTTATTTGTGAAATTGATACCTCAGCATTATAACGTATAGATTTTATACATGTGAAAATTAACATTTTACTGAATCTTACGTTCATGGGCCAAAGCCCAACTACGGAATAACAGTTTGTCATTTGTCTAAACAATCCGAACGTATTTGGTGGCAAAATAAACCGAACAGAAAGGGAAAAAATAATAAATCTCCCACCAAAAAAAAACAAAGAGGAAAGTTATCTGATCAACATCCAACAAAGAGTAAATCGTAAATCAGACAGAAGAAACCACATGGTTTCTTGTAGTCGCCGTTCCATAGATTATTACAATTATATTAGCGCAAGTAATAGCACAGATGGATGACACGATGTTTCGATAACCATCTACCAATTACGCTGAATTGGTATCCCCCAGTCAATCTCATCTTCACTCTCCGGATCAGCCTTTTTTTTATAAAACTGGCTTGTGAATTTGGCACTACACAACAGAAGAGCAAGAAAGTCAGAGTCAATAAAATCAAAACAAACAAAACCAGTAATAATAATAATTTTATATGATCGGACAAAGAGTTATAAGGAAAAGTACATATATATCTCATCTTCAAGTTCAGCAATTTCAGGATCCAGTAGGAGCTGCGAGCACCCATCTCCACTGGTAACACATCTTTCGGCTATACGAATAAGAAACGATGATTTTATATATCAAACGACTAAAACAAAACACTAACAATATAAAAATAATCGATGGTAAATGCACGTTACATACCTTCTAATCCAGAGATCATCCAAAACCTTAGCACACAAAAGACCGTAGACCCACGTACTCTAATGTCATAATTTGCCTCATTCCACATCTTTGTTAGCTCAGTGCAATGATTCTTCATGCACAACAGTTTATCACCGTACCTCTTTGTACACAATAAAACTAAGTATTAATTAAATTCTTAGATCACGCCATACACAAAAGTAACATCGATTTACACTTACTCTGCATCAACGATCTGAAAATTGCGATAATTAGGTTGTTTACCAACCTCATCCCAGTTAGCAACATAAGGAAGTCTTTTAACCCTCGAGATCCTGATGATGACTCCATAAAGGTCTGAAATAAAGATACAACATATATAAGAATTAACGGACTACGGACAATATTATGAGTAAATCGAGTACATTACCAACAGGAAGATCAAGTTTGAGATTTCTCCCCTCAATGATATCTGTGTACGATATAAAATTAAAGAAACCAGATTCTTTTTTTCCCAAAATCGGTTCAATTTTAGTTTTGCAAGTGAACTGGATTATATAAGGACAAGCAGTGTTCCTCAAGACTTCTGGATTAGTAACGACCCTAAAATCTTCAAAAAGAAACCAACGGCCCTGCTCGAGAATCTTCTCGAACCTCTTGGAATAATGAGGATGGGGAACAGTTGACTCAATCTTAACACCCTAAAATTTCAAACAGATTTGAAATTAAATTCAAAGCTTGCGAACAAAATTACCAATAAAGTAAGAAAATTGATGTTATAGATGGAATACCTCCTCGTCAGCTAGTATCATTTTGCAAACACGGCCGAGCCTATCCTCGTTAGGGATCCACAGAGCAAGGATCTTAACACACACAACACACTTATCTTGTCCGACGTTTAGATCAGCAAATTTTAATGTAGCAGCCATGTTCATAAAACACTGATCTTTCGTTTTCTATAATTTAGAGATCAAAAGGAGATAAAAACACATATACCAAAAAAAGCACAAATATATTTAAAGTTCAAACATCGTGTGTTTATTTTAAAGGTGTTATTGCCTTATCAGAACTGGAAACTTACTATTAATGAACAGTAATGTGCTATCACATACATCAAAGAGGAATTTATTGATTGGCTGTTATTTGGTTTTTT